TATTATTAGGTTCATTATTATAGAGTTCATTAGTTATTCTTGATTTTAGGTGTAGAGCCAGGTCATGGGGTAAGACTGAAACTCCTCACGGGGGGTGGGGTCAGCTCGACACACCTGGGGGCGACACATCGTGGACAAACTTCCGTCCAACACGAGACTGTCCCTCACCCACAGCCCGGACTCTCTTCACCACACTGCCCCATCGGCTGACGTCGGGAAGTTCTGCTGAAGACTGTGAGTCCTCCATGACCTCCCCGGTTAGTTGGTCCAAGTAAACTGCATCCACCGCGGGGAAGGAATCAAATGCTCCAGCTCGAAGGTGAAGGAGCTAGCTTTGAGCATGCGACTAGCAGGTGATAATGACGAGCCTCGAAACAACTTGGAGGTAGTCCTGGATCTGAGAGTTACTGCCGGTGGTTCGGGAGGTGTGTGTGTTGTTTGTGTTAGTGTGTGTGTGTAGTGTGTGTTTGATCCAGTATTTTGTTGGGTAGGATGGAAAATGTGTGAGCTGTTAGCAGAAGTCAATTTGTTTATTAGCTTGTTAGCTCGCTTGTGCTAATCATTTCAGGTTGTCTGAAGGTAGCAGGTGTAAATAGACAGAGACAGTATTAGCTGTAGTGGTGGTGTTGTGTCTTAAAGGTTGTAGATGTGAAAGGGATCTATTGGCAGATATTGAATATAAAATAATCCTGGTGATGTTTTCACTGGTTCTTTTCATTTAAATTGTACGAATTGTTTCCTTTACCTTAGAATGAGCTGTTTATATTTAAATACTTTATGTTCACATCAGGAGAAAGTCCTCTTTACGGAGGCCGCCGTATTTTTTACAGTCGTCCAAACTGGATTAACTAAACACCTTTTGAGTTTCTATGACAACTGAAGCTACCACAGGTTTTCTGTCATGTTTGGAGGGGGAGGGTCAGGTGAGGGGTATTCATCTGCAACATGCAACTTCACCACTAGATGTCACTTTATTCTTCATTCTGAGCCTTTAAGTTTATCGTGATTGTGACATGCACCGTTTTCACACCGCTTTAGGTTTATTAGTAGTTACCGCACCATTGACCAATCTCCTGAAGAAGAATGTCAGGTTTTGTCTGCACCTGTGAGCAGGCATTTGCAGGCATTAAGTCTGTTTTAGCCTGTGAGCCTGTGTTGCGTGCTCCTGACTTTGATTCCCCATTTAAGCTTGCAGTAGATGTATGTGATACCAGAGTGGGCGCATAATTGTTTTGATGATTTAAAATAATTGAATGAAGACTTTGACTTTTGACTTTGACTCACTTTACCTTCATTTGTCATTTTTCCTGATTGGTGAATCCTGTCCTCCTCCTTTAAAGCAAACACAAGTATGAGGGCGGTGTGATGGGTAACACTGTGACCTCACATCAAGATGGTTGTGGGTTCCAACCCCTCACCCCCGTGTTGACTTTGCATGTTCTTCCTCTGGATTTTTCTCCAGTTTCCACCCACAGTTCAGAGACATGCAGATTACTCTAAATTACATAAAAGTGTCCTCTCCTGGGATTGGCTGCAGCCCCCTTCACTCCCTGTAATAAATAGTACAGATAATGGGCAGACCACATAAATGCTGAGGCCATGCTTAAGTTTATTTAATGTAAATGAGAAAAAAAAAATCCCACATGTTCAGCAATATGTTGAATGACGTTGCAGTGTCTGACGGAAACAAAGTCATCATAGTGAATGAGCTAACATGAACACACTGTACAGTATCATTACACTTTAAATTATCCTCTTCTTTTCTTGGCCTTAAACAGCCAAAAGCAGGTGGACAGAGATTTTCTGTGGACAAATTCTCCCGATAAACACAGAAACACTTTTTCAACTGTAAATTTTTTTTTTACATTTTCAAAAACACATGTATGTTCACTTTTGGTCATAAATACCCCCCTCCCCCCTCCCTTATAGTTGAAAGCAAAGCACCATAATTACAGATTCAATTAGTTGGAAATCATACCTGTGAACGGTGCTGATTTGACATTCGGTGGTAGAAGGAACATGATACTGACACCAGTGAAACTCTGTGGTGAGTCTCATACCCGTTATACAACAAGAAGGATCGGACCTCCTCTGCTTTGCATTATTCCGTGAAATTAATCCTCCCATTAATAGAAAAAAAGAAATCTAATATGCTTATTGCCTAATAATGACATGTTTCATTTATAGGTGACAGATGCTGCTCATACACATTCATGTCATAACAACAGATGCGCAGACGTGTTCAAAATGTAACAGTGTGGCCATTTTCACTTGGCAGTAACTCACTGATCTGTGACTGGCTTTTTAAATAACACAGCAACTGATTTTTAACTACTCAGAACAAATGCACTATTATTCACTACGTTTTGGTGCCTGGTGGTCCAGAAATGCCTTGACATTAATATGCCATCATTCATTATTATAAATAATTATTATAATATTATTATTATTATTATATAAGATTAAGTAGTTTGGCAATCTTGATATAAAGAGAAATATTACTTTTGTGTCATTTAGTCACACTCCTCATACCAGAGTGTGATTACCCCCGCCAAGGTTATACTTTTAGTTTATTGGTTTGTTTGTGAACAACATTGCGCAAAAAACTACAATGGGGATTACCACGAAACTTAGTGGAAGGATGCGTCAGAGAAGACTTCATTCAATTTTAGTGTAGCTCCAAGGATTCGTTTTTTTTAGTTTCTTGAGATTACGACATTGGCTGTTTTTTAAAAACATTTTCACCAATTTCCCATGAAATAATTCTTAGAGATTGATCAGGCATATTTATATATTTATACAGCTTGGGGACTGTTGGGCCTTGGCGGAAGTATGCACTCTACAGAGTGCCATTCTAGTTGTTAATGTATCTTCATATACTGCAAAGTTCCTACATAGAGCAATTGGAAGCATTTTAAAATAAAAAAAAAGAAATAATACTGAGCTGTTTTTATTTGTTCACAAACCTGCTGTGAACCAGCAGCAAAGTGATCTACAACACTGGTTCTCAACCCTTTTTTTGGCTGAAGCAATGTCTCCATACAAAACCCCTGCTGTGAGTGTTAGCGCTGACTCTCAGTGGATTTATTTTTTTGTTTTTTCCTGTCAGGCAGTTTTATGTAATCATTGGAACAAGTTTTGAGGTTGCAACTACTTAAGAAAAGAGAAATTCATCACAATGACATAATATTTTACACACCAATCATAGCTCAGATCGTTTGCAGGTGTCTGAACCCACAGGTTGAGAACCAGTGATCTAGAGTAACGTCCTGCATTCTTTAAAAATCACTTTCTCAAAAAACAGGGTTGTGAAAAAGCTGAAACCGCTTTGCTTTGTTGAGCTGAACACACATGTACCGTGTGGCTAACGCTAGCTGTATGCAATTTTTTTCTTTTTGGCCCTTTGTAGTTTTACGTACTTCAATATACAAACTGTTTCGTCCACTGAGATGAAGAAAACACACAAGTTTTCTTCCAAATACAAAAAAGCCTCTGTGTAAATACGCTGCTTTACAACCACCTCATTACACTTGCACGCTAAAAACAAAACAAGCATAAGGCCACACATCAACAGCATAATGCAGGACTCAATGCAAAATTAATCTGTACATGAATTTTAAACATTCAGTGCTTCAGTAAAATGTCCTGGCATTCATAATGTCTCTTTTTTTGACGTTTGGCACACAGGAAACGAGGACCGCACTCCTACAGGGACAATCTCAACTGAAAAGCATCATTCTCTGACAGTGGCATACATTCCAGTTGTTCTTTTTCTTTGAGTCTGATCATTTTCAGTCCAGAGTAAGGAGAAGAAACACAGACAGGAATGCAATAAGAGGAAAAACAGAACAACATTAAAAAAAGACAAATATGCATTCATCTAACTGGCATTGCAGGTGTTTGAATCTTTATGGATATGTACAGTGAAGTACAAATTGAAATGGGTTTATTCCATATGAGAAGGGGAATGGCGATGTTTGATTAGGACAGGGCAGGCACTACTTTTTTCGGGGTGGGTGGCTTCTTGGTTTGCCAGAGGTGGCTGTGAATAGTCACGGCATCCACGCTGGCCGACATGGTCTTGGCCGGTATCTGACTGAACTGCTTCTTGTCCGAGTTGTATTTGTAGAGGCCGTCGATCATCTTGCGTGTGATGCTCTTAGGGCCGATGCCTGTCAGCTTGTTGATCTCCTCTGACTCTGGGCAGTAGGTGTAGAGCGAGCGGAACTGGCAGCCACCGTCACGGAACAACACCAAGAAGTTGTTGGCCTCCGACTTCTCCATTTCCTGTTGAGTTAAGGGAAGAGCAGCTCCTGAGATACAGTATGAAGGTCATGTGGGATACAAAGGCTGTGGTGATATGTGGCTTTTGATTATTTGGTCTCAAAAGAAAATTATATCTGTTTGTCAGCAGGATTGCACGAAAACTGAGCGTATTTAATAGAAACTTGGTGAAAAGATCAGACATGGGCCAAGGAAGAACCCATTAAATATTGGTGTGTGGATCCAGGCAAAAGTGCAGATACAGGAATTTATTTTTCACTTTCTTAAACATTCATCCTTAGAGAGTAATTCATGGATCTTGATGAAAACAATCAGGTTTATTTAAGGGATTGATGTCTACAGGATACCTTGACCTCTCCACTGTATAAAAACGTCACAACTACATTAAAAGCTTCATGCTCTTACCTCCAGGATCTTATTCTTCTGCCCCTCGTTGACCTTGCCTGCGAGGCAGCAGTGGGCCAGAGCGTTCTGGATAATGTGCTTGTTAGACTTTGCACTCGGCTCTTTGTAGAGCTTCGGTCCTGAATGAGAACAGGATAGAGGATGTCAGGATGAGGCTGTTGTTATGGCAACTACTCCAGTTACGTCAAAAAAAAAGACTCCCCTCCCCGTGTTTTTACACAGTCTTGATAAATCATTTATAAGGAGTCAGTCTGACCCAGGAATATGAGCAGTGAACGCAGCATTCAGGTAATGGAAAGGAAACAATACAAAGAAGGCCACATTAACATCATTATATCAAACAGATGATAATAAAAAAAGCTTCACTTTTGTATTAGAATATAAGCTTAGGAGAAAAAATTCCCCAAGAAGAACTACATTAAGGAATTTAAATTGAGAATTTGTGTTATTCAATGACTTCCATTTAGCATTTTTATGGTACTAACATTTGATTTTCATAAAAAACACATCCTGCAGAGGAAACATGCTATGTAAGACATACCAGTGTACTCTGTGTTGGATGTAACAGAGGAGGTTGTGGATCCATTCTCCCAGTCCTTCTCTCCATTTCTGCTGCTGGAGCGACTCGGGGACAGGAAGCCATCTGCAGAGTCTGGCCTGGAAAACACACACACACACGTGGCACACTTATATACACACAGTAAATTAGATCACCTTGCTGCTACTGAACACTCAGCAACTGTGGGCAGGGCAGGAGAATGCTGCATAAACACCAACTTAAATATTTTAGAAAATATCTCTGAAAACCCATTTCCATAAATGAACCAAGAAAGTTATGGTAGAGCTGTTGGCTGGTGTCATTTTCCCACCCTGTCGACATCATGTTTGTGCCGATCCTTCCTTCACTGTGGTGGAAACCGTGTCGTATCTCAGTGCACAGTCAGAGTTTGGGATTGTTTGGGTTGTGCAGCCTTGCAATAACTACTGAAGCAGCAGAGCTTGCAAGCACAGGCAGTGAGCGCAGTGACGTGAAGCAGTGTGGTGCACTGAGGGTCAGTTAAAGAGGTCAGTCCAGTGTCGGGCAGCACTTGGCATTTACTTGCTCTTTTTGTTGACTGCCAGCACACTGTGTCTCCTGCATCTTTGTTTTTTCCAATTCCACTAGGATTATGTGTTTAAAACACCTAAGGTGACTTGACAAGATAAAACTTTTATTATCTCCACCTAGGATGTAATGTTTTTTTGCCCCTGGCTGTCAGTAAATTTATTTGTCTGATTATCAGCAGGATTACACAAAAACAGTTTTTCAAGAAACTAAGTGGAAGAATGGGGCATAGGCCAATAAAGAAACCAATAAATGTTGGCACAGATCTGGATAAAGGGGCATATCCAGGATTATTTTATTTCTCTTTCTTTAACATTGCAAGTTGGGGCCCACATAAGGATGATTATGTGATGTTAGTGGCTCTAAACAAAGATAATGTAAATAGATGTTTTATTAAGTGAAGAATAACAGCAGGGAGGGTAAATTGGTGTAAAGGATGCAGCAGAGTGACAAGTGATTGTTTTGTGGGAGCGATGCTGCTAAAAGCGAAGCGTTAGAGCAGTGATTTGAAGTTGGACATGAGGATTTTTCTAGGAGAACAAATGCGTTTTTCATACATGTGCTCATTCAATCCATGATAAAACCCAGGGAAGGCGGGACAGGGTTTTATGTGAAGGATTGGTGCTTGGGACAGCGTGAAGCACTTTAGGGTTTATCAGAGAAGCAGAAACTAACCTTATTAAGATCTGGAATCTTAATAAAGAGGAGGAATCTTAAGCACCTTAGGGTTTAACAGAGAAGCAGAAACTAACCTTCTCCCTCTCAGTTTAGGAGAGCTCAGAAAGTAGAGGAGACTGCCAGAGGCTAAACTAGCACTTCTGACAAGTGTGAAACAGCAGGAAAGACAGTAGTAGACAAAAGGAAGAAAGAAATACAGGAAAAATGTTAAACCTAAAGATGTGAGTTAGTGAAGCTGGATTTAAAATAGATATTCTCAATTTCATACTTATCATGTTTACTTAATATAGCTTACTGCTTTATTCCTGAGTGAGTCAGAGTTTTATTACACCGTCACCTCAGAGACTTAGTAGATCAAAACCCCATCTCACCTCGGTGTCCTCTTCTCAGAGTGAACGCTGTCGCCGTCTCCCAGGTTGAGCGACGCCAGGGACAAGCTGGAGACTGAAAAGACACGTTGGCGTGAACCTGGATGTGAGACAACGACATGTGGCACAGCACGACATGATTACACCAACACCACGAATGAGCACATCACTGGACCGTCCACTGTGGTTTGTGCCAACCTTGTTACAGAGAAATGCAGCGCTGTGACTACGATGAACCATCACCTCAAATGCACACAAAACTATATATATACAACCTGCAATACATGGTTAACTGTGTATAAATACACTCTGTATAGTTTCTAATTACACGTATATATGAGAACACATATCAAACACATTAGTGCTGCATTTCTCCTTCAGTAAGTGTTAAATCTTACGCTCTTTTTTGTGCCTGTTAAATGTTACGTAAACATTGTTGCTTATTTACTATTACATAGAATATTGATTAGGTTATGAGCACGATTCATCAATTTATTTAATATAATGCCAATATCATAACAAATATCTTAGTTTATCCAGTTGAATGCCTTATTCACATATATACTTTTAATTTACTTATTTGAGGATAAATCAGGAACATGATAAAAGATAGTTGGTTGTATAAGACGTATTCAGGAAGCACAAAGCAGCAGTGAAAGCAGGACACAGATTCGACAGACAGGACGATGTTGACCTGCAACATCTGAAGACAGGTTGTTTCCATGGTTACCTGTGGCAGCTCTGACAGGGGTTTTGGGGGAGTCCATACTGTCGCGATGGATGGACTTGGGCCGGCCTCGCCTCTGCTTGGTGCCGCCGCCTGGTCGAGGTTTGATGATGGTGTCCATGTCCTGCATGAGTTTGAGCTGCTTCCTCCTGAGATACTCCTGTTTGATGAACTCCCTCCTGGCCTTGTCCTCCTCCTTCCTGAGACGCTCCTCCTCTGCTTTCAATCTGAACGGACAGACCCGAGGGAGGGAAGCAGAGTCAGAGCTGTGAGAACATATACTGTGAGTGTTTTTAGTTTAGGATGCATGGTTATGCACTGAAATAAGGAACTAAGCATTTTTACCTTGCTTATTATTTTCTGCAGTGTAGTGGAGTTTTTAATCTGTTTTGTTTCAAGATATGTTGAATTGTTTAGTCTATCAACAGAAAATTGCTTTGACGGCATCTGATTCAAAGATCAATAATAGTTTGCAAAATGAATGTCAGATAAAGATATTGATATATAAAAGCATATGTATATGATACAGCAAAAAAGCATCCAGTTGTTAAGAGTGTGATGTGTACACAACACTGCATTGCTATAATCGTGTGTTGATGTGTGTGTGGACTTATTTTCCGGACGTGTAAACATACCGAGCTTCCTCCTTCTTCTGCTCCAGCTCGGCCTCCAGCTGCATCTTCTTCTGCTGACTCTCCTTCTCCCTCCTCATCCTCTTCTCCAGCAGCGCAGCCCTCTTCTGAGCCATGTTGTCCTCGGCCTTCCCATCCTCCTGAGCCGTGAGGGAAACAGAGCCAGTCAAGTTCCACAGCTTCGGGTAAATTATGTTCTCAGCAGAATAAGAATCAGTGTCATTTACAAATTTATAACATAATGCTAAAAACGTTTTATCTGCAGTTTATCACGACCTTTAATGGTTGGGACATGCTGTAGATGAAGAGGCTTATCTGAGTATTATAACTGATACTTTTATATTTCTTATCTGATATAATGAATGAAATAATCTGAAATGTGTAGCTGTGAAAGGTCATCTGTTCTTTGTGTAATTAAATGAGATAGTGAAAATGATGACTGTTTCAGTTTTTTCTGGGTTAGGCAAGGACAAAGTTCATTTTAATTTTATCCAGTTTTTATCTTTATCTGCATTATGTGACTGCAAGACACGTATAAAAATCTGTATATCCATTATTGCTGAAAAGTGTGGTCTGTCAAATATCACACTCTACCCTTTCTGAATGTGGTATAAATAAAAAATTATATTTGGATTCAAAAGTTATGACTGTAAATGTAATATATATATATAAATACAAAGTACAATTCAGTTCCATCTGGATTTGTATTTCACGAGAGCCTTTGCTCATCCGTTAGTTTCCACTCTCACCATCTCTTCAGTCTAACACTTCTCCGACCCCACATTTCCACAGCTGGGCCTGAATTATTCACAACAGCCCCAGTTTTCTGACCTACATCGAAGCTCAGACTGCGACAAGCGAACCGTCCAACAACCAACATAAATTAAGAAGATAACGCTTTCTCCAACTGTCAAGTTTTCCGGAACCAATCTTCATCTTGTGTCAGGAACATGTTCGGTTGCTGATAAAATCAAACATGGCTGCCCTGAGGTTCAAACATGTAATTAATTTTTTTACCGAGCTGCACCAACATATTTTAAGGCTTTTAGTGATTTTGAGTGGCTGTGACCTGGACACTGCACGCTATGGTTTTTATTATTTATGATGCTGCCTCTATGTTACAAAAAATGTAATATATGATTATTGTAATAAATATACAATAATTGACAGAATTCAGTGTCATACATAATTTTGCTTTTGTGTAAATCCTCCTTTTCTTTGTTTTAAATAGAGAAGATGCAACAAAAAATTAAGGATTCGAAAAACAATTCTTCATGTGACATGGTGACAGAAATTCTCTGAAACAACAACCTACCTTGAAGAAGAAACCACGACACTTCCTCTGCTCCTCCTCTGAGCCGTCCACATTTCCCTGCTGCATCTCCAAACCATCATCCAGTGTCAGGTCCTCCAGTGGCTTCACCACTGACAGTGGAACCTCAATCAGGCTGCTCTTGGCTTGGCTCGAGGCCTCTGGCTGGGGAGGGATCTCTGTAGGTGTCACCGTGAAGGTCTCCACCACAGGGTGGGCCAGAACATCTACAGCTGACTTCTGAACAGTGGGTTTCTGATCTTCTGCCTCCATGTCAGCGATCTCGGATTGGCTGTGTGCCTCCATTTCCTGGGGGTTGCTGTTCGAATCTACCTCTGTTTGCTTTCTTTTGTTACGCAGGTTGAGGGAGGTAGGGGGAGAGCGGCCTACAAATATACTGGCAATCTCCCTCTCTGGTGAATGGAGGATATCCGTCTCCTTATTTTTCTCTCCATCTGCGGCCACTGTCTCTGGATTGCGCCGTGCCGGTTTCTCCCCCATGTAAACGAAGGAACTCGCCAAAGGCTGGCAGGGGGAAAATCGCCGCAGCCTTGGGATGCTGTCAACAGATTGTGGGGCAGTTAGGACCCGGTTGTAGGGGGCCAGCTTGAGCTCGGTGGGACGTGCGGTGCGGGGATTGCGTGAGTGAAAGGAGGCAGATTTGCGCTTGATGCTGGTTGGAGAGCGGTGGGTGGAATGAGGGGAGTCAGCAGGAGAGGAGGGTCCTGAGGATCGAGTGACAGCTCTGTGTTTTTGTGGTGAGGGGTTCGTGTATGGAGGAGCGATGACCCATGCCTGCTGATGTTGTTGCTCCCTCATGGCCATGATGACTTCCTGCTGCTGAGCCAGTCGCTGCATCTCCGTCTGGAGGAAGGCTAGTGAGTGGTTGAGTTTCTCGATAGAACGTGTATACTCTGTGAGGTCCACTTCGGTTTGCTGAGCATAACTTTGTCCACCCTCCTCTCCTGCTCCTGGGGACTTTGTCCAACAGGAGGCTGTGCTGTTTTGCTCCGCCCCATCAGGTGTGTCGGTCTTGCTCCTCCCAAATTTAAAGACGGGACTTGGTGCCTTTCCTTCTCCCACAACTTTCCCTCCTTCCTCTCCGCTCGCAGCCCCGTCCCCTTTCCTCTTCACCACATTGAGGAACGCTGAGTGACCCATCTTTTGCCGATGCCTTGTAAAAGCAGCCTCAACTTTCTTCTTCTGTGCTTCGATGGCTTTCCTTTTCTCCTCCAGCCTCATCCTCAGCTCTACCATCTCCGTAGCCATGACTTGAGCAGGGTCATTGGGTGGAAGCTGGACAGGCGTGGGTGATGCCCGGACAGTAAGGGGCGGTGGGGTCTGTTGGTGGATGGGGCTGTGCTCAGGGGTTGGCGCCCAGGAGACAGATAACGGGAGGCCAAACTCAGAGCCCTCTGGCGTTGTCTTGAGCGAGCTGCAGCTGCCCCTCCCTGAGTCTGGTGCCGATGGATTGAGCTTCCTTAACTTCTGCTCTGCAAAGTTGGTCAGCTTCATTCCTGAGGGGGATTTGCTCTGGCTGCTTGGGCATGGACTTGGCGTGTCCATATCAAGATCCATGTTCACGGAGCAGTCTTTCAAAGAGGAATCCTCATCTAGCATGTCCTCTGTTCGGATGTGGATGCCTGTGTCGACCTCTGTGGTGTCTGTGGTGCTCAAGGGTCCTTTGGAGTCCAACTCTGACACTGGCTCTAAGCCACTGGCCCCATGGCCCTGACTGTGCAGGAAGAAACCGTTGTTGATACCCTCCACCGGGGGCCTGCTCGGACTGTGGATAATCTGAAGGGCCTCCTCCATGGAGGGAGTTGTTGCCATGACGCCCTCATGTCCGTTGGGATAAGCTTGCCTGCTGGGTTCCACGCCAGCTAGGCTGTCTGGGCAGCCCTCCTCCTTGATGCCAATGCTCTGACCGTTCACTGGCTGGAAGGACAAATTGCGCTTCATTCCTCTGGGCAGGTGGTGGACCTTGAAACCAGAGCCATCGTCTGTGCTGACAGACCTGACCATGCCTCGTGTGGAGGAAAAAGGAGTGGGAGCAGAGTCCTCTTTGTCAAAGGGGATGTCGAAAGACACTCCGTAAGGCCCAGACCTTAACAGAAGCACAAAAGAAGAATATGATTTACTTTTTTTAGTAACAAATTTAAAAAGGTTATTTAAGGAGTCTTTTTTACACCGCTGTGGGACAATTAATTCTCTTGGTTATATGATATATTTTATAAAAGTAATTTGACCGACCTCTTCTCTTTGGGCCAGGTGCCGAGGTTTCCATCAACAAAAGACATTGAGGTCGACCTCTTCATATCTCCTGCAGAAGAATGAATAAAGAAGAATGCAAGGTAAGACACAAAGAGTGGCTATGTAAGAAATCACATTTTAGTATTTAAAGTTAAATAAATAAATAAATCTTTTGAAACATCACCTGAGTTTTTAGGCTGAGGTCGGAGGGGCAAGCTAGAGAAGGACATAAAGAAAATTTAAATGTTAAGCATTGTAATACATATGCTTTATATATATAATATAAATATGATTATTTGACTGACTTATCTGACATAAATTTCTGAATCAGTCCCACAACCAGCATCAAGTTATCTGACAAAGAGCAGCTCTGTGCTTTTAGAAGTTTATACATCCAATAATTAATGTTACACAGTGTCACATTGAAAACCATAATTTCAACATACCTGGCTCTTTCGGGACTGGGGGGTCTTTCCATGAAACTTCTTTTGGTTGCCTTGGAGATGGGGATGGCTGGCATATTCTTCAACAAGGATGAGGTTTCTGAGGTGATACAACAGAGATATTCAAATATGAGTACTTCATGTAAAATACAGATACCCTGCACCGGGCACAATACTGCTGGTGCTATTGCTAGATTGCAATACTACTACTTGCCTCTGCCTTCACTGTCCAGCAGTCTCGGTTTCACAAAAGACGGCTTGACCACCTCAAACCACCAAAACAGCTCTGCCATGAACACCAGGTAGTTATTCTGGAGGAGAGAAAAATCAAACATGACTAACATGAAATTGTGTCTCATTAAAACAATTAGCTTAATGATACAATAACGAGACAAATGTTGCCACTTTATCCATGATATCAATTGCTTTGTGCTTATTTCTCCAGCAGGTGTCTCTGTTGACCCCCACAGATACCAGTAATATATTTATCTTCCAGTCTGCGTATAAATAATTCACCAACCTCGCTCCATTTCAGAGAATCCTCTCAAGAACTAGATCAAACTACAGTGCAGCATTTTATGAGGGAATATATCTTTAACAGGCTTGAGTGAGGTTGATTTCATTTCATTGTTGCCTCCCTGACTCCACAGAGAGACTAACAGGTAACGAGACAACATGGTAACATGGCTTTTCACATGCTAGGGATAAGCCAATCATCCACTTAGTAAATAATGTCAGTAGACCTGTGGTAGTTGAGAGGAGCATTAACCTAATTTATAGATTATTTTTAATTTATAAAAAGGTCAGATTTGTTTTTGTTCAGCAGGTAAACCACCAGCCAGCCTGAATTAGACAGATGAGAACTGTTGGAGGCATTTTCTCCATTGCTGTGCTGTGTCATGTCAAATCATTAATCAGGTCAACGAACAGTAGGAGGTCAAGCCTCTACTGAGGACTGTGTACTGCATAAATACCCACCTGACATAGTCACTGTACCCATGAGGTTTCTTATGAATATTATGCTTATTTTCTAAGTAAAGATGTTTGAAATGTGAGACTATAACATTTGTTTTGTAGAGTAACACTAAAGTAAAAGAGTAATGAAAAAATGTCACATAGTTTGTGCTTTATGCAAGTGCTGTAACTCATATCTTTGCTATCATGTGTGAAATAGTTCCTGGCGTTGCTCTGCTTGTTTAAAATAAATATCATTATCTTGATAAATTGCATACATAAAAAAATTATGTATCCCATCATTATTTAAACATGTCTTCACAATCAATTCTTCATCAACAATCAGGCAAAACTCATCCGTTTTTTTATGGTGAACATCCCGGCCCTCACTCACAGATGCACAGACATGTGTCTATGCAAAAATGAGTGCAGTGATGCAGGAACGACCTTGAGGAAACACGCTCCCTCACCGACCTCAGCGCCTGGTCTCCAGACAAAGACAATGCTGCACGGCTCAGCTCTAAAGATTTCTGATTCACCTCATCAGCAACATTTTGCTCAAACAGACACACACTAGCATGCGCACACACACACCAACACACACAGACGTTATACACACACCCCTTAAGCCCCGAAACTGCAGCCCAAAAGCTCACCAGGAGGGGCTGAGGCAATTAACACCAGAAACACTCATCTCCCCCGAGTGTTACTGCAGCATTTTACATTTTTTCCCCTCTTTTGTCTTTACCTCCCACGTGCAGAGCTACAAAAGTCTGAGAAGGTACATGTGTCTGTGACAGAATCTCCTTCAGGTGATAAAGAAGTAGAGCACATCAGACAAAAGTGATTCAAGTTAAGAAGTGAAATATCGAATTATCGTCTTTACAACTGAACAGATGCAGTTTAAATTTTTCATTAGAGGGTCAGTTAAAAGTGTGTCATCGTCCTTTTCAACCCGTGTTTTGAGTTACATTTTCTCTTCTTCCATTTGGATAAACACCGATTTTCTAACAAACACTACGTCAAACACTGAGGCTGTGGTTACCTTTTAGATCTGTTCAGCATTTGAAGAACTCCCATTGTTAAGATGTAAAAAAAGAAGGAAGAGACACAGAGAGACAACAATCTCCTCTCTTCTGTTCAGTCCAGATTGGTGGCTGTAATCCAACCTCACTTCTCTCTTCCCATCTGTGCGTCAGACTACTACTGGCACACCAGGTGTGAGGGTTAATGCTTAATACCACCCGTCACTACGTCCCCACTGACCGGCATTTCTACCTCGTGGGCTGCAGCGCTGCCAGATCCGAGCGTCAGACTGCGTCACTCTTAGAATGAAAACAGGAACCTGATTGGAGATCACTAGAAGAGCTCAAGGGAGGGGGGGGTTAAATTCGCTCTGGGGGATGGGCCCAAACAGCACACACATGCACCAAGCATGCACACACTCACACACACCATTTAACATTTTAACGCACTGGCTGTATAAAGGCCTGGACATGCTTACAAATACAAAACAGCAGGTCCCACTCCTGCAAATTGTATTATCCCACTCAGCAAGACTAGAGACCTGCAGCCACACCCTGAGCGTCCGCGGGGCATTAATGTCAACAATCATTGGGCCAGAAGGTTGATTAAAGGATCTAGGCCCTGCACACAGACTCACTCCAATCTGGAAAACCAACGATTTACTGCCAAGTTAATCAGGCCTCCTCCAGCTGCCCGTCAGGAAAAGAGTTTCCGCTACATCTCTAATTGCAGAAAACAAAATATAAAAGAATCTAAAAGAGGCCGGAGAAGAACTGATCATGGTATCATGATATAGTCTAGAAGCTTAAATAACACTTGTGCCTCTTATTTGCTAGTGATGTAGGAACTGAGGTTTATTCTGGTTCTAAATAAATGTATATCAGCTAATAGGAGTTAGCTCATCATATTACTGCTGCACATCTCGAACGCTGTAAATACATGATTAACTGACATTTCAGAGACATCTCATGATTTACAGGAAGTGTGTTAACTGCCTTCATCAGAGCAACCTCAGCATGTCCACTGAACAAAATATAAGTAATTAGGCAAAAAACCCAAAGAGTGTGAATTTCGTTCCTCCGCCTCCTCGGATCCACAGATGGTAATTTAGATGTGCTGTGAATTAATTAAACAAAGAGCCAGTAGATGGGAGTGTGTTGACGTGATTTACTGTCCCGGCGTCCATTAGGAAGGAATGGTTTTCAGTAATGTGTATTCAGAGACTCAGGGGGTTGGGATCTATTGTCTCTTATTGATGCACGCTGAGCAGAATGTGGACTGAGGAGGATTCATACTCTTACCTTTCTGCACATACTGAATCTCTTTGTCTTCAGATAATACGATAAAGTGTCTGAATCACATCGGCTTCAGTCTGGTCATCATGTTTAAATTGAACTGAGGTGTCCCCTCTAATGATTAATTGTCATGTTAGGTTTAATTTTCGTGGTTTGATATTTCATCTCATCAATAATGTAAGAATTACTTAAGTTTGAATTGATTCAGACATGTTTCAAGGAAAACAAAACATAGCCTTGTTCAATTCCCTCTAATGTTTGGACTCACTGCCTTTACTTTGTTATTAAGTAAGTGAAATATCTTTATAATTTTTTTTATTGTTGGTCAGACAGAACAAGGTCCTAGTAAAATATGATAGAAGTTTTATGACAATTCCAAGAAAACATCTATATAGGTCAATATATCAAATCTGGAGATTGAGCTCGTCAGTTGAAATCCTAATTAGCATAAAACGGCACATGTTGGTTGATCATGTAAAATATCTGTATAGTTCAATGACAATTTAAATGTGATAGATTATAATTGAGAACTACCAAAGCCTAACAGTCTCCTTATGAAACCACATTTAAATTCATTAGATCCAGATTTTTATTTGGATCTGCAGCAAATTGCACACACTCATCAATATTAGTTTTTTGTCAAGATTCAAATTATTTAATTAATCTTAGAGAAATTATTTAATAAGAGAAAATAGATAGAATTTAATTGGTTTTAACCGAGTTTTGTGGTAATCCATCCAGTAGTTTTTGTCTAATCTTGTTTACAATCAAACCAAGCATCACACAAACGGACAGGGGTGAAAACACAACCTCCTTTTCGATGTAATAATCTCCATTTGGATCTGATGGGAAAACAAGCAGTTTGTCATACTGTGTGTGCGTCTGTGTGTATGTCTGTGTTTGTGTGTGTGGGCATGATTCAGTGTCAGACAAGTCTAAACACATCATTTAGTTTCTCTCCTTTCCCACCTCAGCCTCCTCTCTAAACTCTGTTATCACTCCTCCTCGTCTCCTCTCTCCTGTTTCCCATTTATTCTGCATCAGCACCTCCCTTCTCCTCCCCTCCCATCTGCGACTCAGCTCCATCTCTATAATAAGGTCTTCATTAGCATGAAGGGACACGACGTGCAGTCTACCTGGAAACTGGGTCAAGGTTACTGACTGGTTCTGTGAGATGCAGTTCTGCTGCTGCTGCTCAGGCAGTAACGCTGCCGTGCTGTTTATCCCCTGTGAAGTCAGTGTCAGCAAAAATACTGATACAGGCTGTTTCACATGACTCACTCTCATTTCTACCATGTTGTGTTAGGTTGGTGGGATGTTAAGATTCTTTTTTTTGTATATACCGTATATTACTATAACATTAGTACAAATATTAATATGGCTGGTGCTGTTACTGAGCATCTGCACTAATCTATTTAAACTTTCTGTAGTTTTATATTGTTTGTAAGAGAATTTGAAGATTGTTGAGTGAAGGGTCTCTTTTTTTGCTTCCGTTGCCCCGTGTTTGTTTGTTTGTTTGTCTGTCTGTCTGCGAGCAGGATTACTAAAAAACTTCTGGATTGATTTTCATGAAGTCTTGTGGAGGGACGGGGCATGTGACAAGTAAGAAGCAATTAAATTTTGCTGCGATTCCAGGAATTGTTTGTCACTTTGTTTAACATGGCGAGATAGGATAGGACATGAAATATGATTTAAATTAACACAAAAAACAATTCCAATTGTTTACTGAAATATTATGACTATTACATTTGTCATCAATGCCCAGACAGTTTGGCTGACTGACTTAACACGTGTGTGTAAAGGATAGAAACATGGCTAAATGAGTGATGTATGCTGATGTTTGGTCAGTGACCTGTATTTTATCTGCTGAGATCAACTGTCCTGCAGCAGAGGACGAGCTGAGGGGACAGTCAAAGTCAAAGTCATCCTGGCACATCAACTGTTTTTAACATCGTATGCAGCTCTCAGGCAAAAAACACATTTAGACACAGACACACAAGGACAGGCAAAAATACACAGACACCAAACCACCAGACAAATACTAACATGTCCTGACTGTGGTAGCCATTATGCTTTTTATGGAACATAATAGTGGCAGTGGCTGTTTGGGGGGTGTTGTGGGAACTGTGGACTCAAGTGGTAATTAAAGCTACTTTATGAAAAGGTAACATTTCCTGCAGCAACTAAACTAATTGCTGCATATGTGAAACAATCTTTTTGATGTGTGCATCACACACAAGCCAGTGTAGCATGTGTTTCTCAAAATTAAGAGCCATTTTCCCCTTTAGTGAAAGTATTGAAAGTGAGACATTCCTTATAAAGGAAGAAAAATAAGAGAAGAAGGAAAACTGCTGGAAATCTCCCTTTTTTTGAGACGGACAGCAATTCAGCACTTTGTCCTCTCTGCCAGTCGAAAACAATAACGTTTTCTGACTTAATAGCTGATCTCAAGTGAGTGTGTGGTAAGAAAGAAAGAAAAGTAGGACAGGGCGTGAGTTTTCTGTAAAGTACAGTGTCCTCGCTCTGTCTCTGCAACATGCACTCCAGCAGCATCCAAACATTTATATAACCTGAAACTTCAAATCAATAATCACATATCAGCAGCAGACAAACTCGATACAGAGAGACAGAGAATGATAGGACAACATTTGACTCACAGAAACAAAAAAAACAGGGTTTAAGAAAGACAGGACAAGTTTGAAACGAAAATGAGGTAAACAAAGACAAGGAAGGAAATAATGGATAAGGAATGAAATGTAAATGAGAGAAATGAATAAAGAGAGTGTGAGAAAAGGCATGTTAAGAGAGCAGGCTGAGAACGCTCTCCAAGCTTGTGGTCGCTGAAGACAGAATAGTTTGGAGTGATGGATTTTCCACAGCATGAGTCACCACACTGACCAACAGAGCTTCTCCATTCTCCTGTTTCATTTAGCCTCTCTTACTGGATACTGGGCCATCTGGTTCTCTAATTTGTTAAGTCAAAACTCCGTGAATGAATTTGCACAAATGGGATTTGTGTCAGCTTATGGAAACGACCATTAAATTCACATTTGGACGTTTGGATTTGTGTGTAATTCTGTAAATGTTCCAACTAAGACCTGCATTTGATCTTTTTTCCTCTTATTTGGATTTTTAGTTTAACAACAGTGTATATGAGGTCACATTGCTGGTGGTTTTTCCACTACCTACCCTTGGCAAATAACTCCTTTCTGTTGACACACACACGCTACATTTTAAAAAGGACAGTTTTAGTGTCACTGTGTAAACCCTGACAGATATTTCTCAGAGACTGTAACGACTCTTACACACTGACTTTCAAAGCAATTTCCCAGAGAATGTCTCGATGCCGACCAGGCAGACAGGATTAGTTTCATAAAACGTGTCAGGTCCGAGCTTTTCCACGATGTCATGTGACACACGTTGTTTCTGCACATTTTGATATTTAGAAAGAACAGAAAGTGTCTCAAAGCTCAAATTACGAGACCAGCTCGTGCCTCAAAATACAAACTTTTACACAGGGAAATAAATTTAACAACATATATCACTCAGTTGAGCGCAAACCTCAGCCAAAGCCCAGTTCCCTTAAATTCAATCAAGCAGCACCAAAATTTCACACATTCATACATATCATTCACCTAAATATGACAATTTTTTAACATGAATTATTCTATTAAAATAATTTATTAAAAAGAATTTACTGGATCCGCTCCCTGATCTGGATCAACACCAAATCTGAACTGGTTCCTCTCTGACCTATGCCACATCCTTCCACCAAGTTTCATGGAAATCCATTAAGTCGTTTATTTTTATCTTGCTTACGAACAAAAAACTAAAAAGAAACTAAACTGATGGTAGTAATCTGTATAAACAAATTTTTTTACTCACTTACAAACTAAACTTAAAAAGTTTACAACAGGATGGAGGATGAGTTAATTTCAGATATAAAGTGAATATTTTAATTGTGGAATTCAAACTTTGTGTTGTTTCTGATTGGTACCTTGACGGTGGAGGAGGCGTAGAGCATGTCCTCCAGGCTGAAGTGGCAGCAGCTGTTCAGGTTGTCTTTGCAGAAGTCCTGAATGAGCTGCAGGTTGTAGAGCCGATCGGCCAGCGTCATGTTCTCCTTCAGACAAACATCTGGGAGGGCAGAGGGAGCCATCGTGTGTCAGGGTCAGGGTCGTCAAAGTAAAAGGGCTCTGGTTGTAAAGTGCTGGTGGTGATGCTATGATCAGAGATGTGTTAAAAACAGTGTTGGGGATATTTCACTAAAGAGCTGCTGAGGTTTGTCAGTGTGACGGTTTGTAGGTGTCTGACCAATCACGACAGATAACTGAGACACATCAATCAGTGGGTGGAGCCGTGAGTTAACGCATTTAAAAGGTGTCGACTTGATCTTTTGTTCTCCTGATGTTTTCAGTTTAGATGAGTGATTGTGTGATCAGCAGGGTGATGTGACTGTGTGCAGACGGAGGTGGACACAGTGACACAAATCTGTATCAAACACTGTAACTCTAACTGCCTTTCCTGGAATAATATAAATATCTAACACCGAAAATGAATGAGGAATAAAAACAGCTCGGGTAATATGAGGCAGAATCACTGGAAACATGTCAGTACTTTCCATTCAATGAACAGCAAAAAAGGAGAAGAAGAAAAAGTTTGGAAGGTGGAAAATATCCACAACTAAAGAACTTGCCCTCTCTTGCACTTTGTTGCAGGACCTGCAGAAAAATACCACACTCAACTCTCCCCTAAAACTACCATCGCAGGAAGATGTCTGGGAAATTTACAGTGAGCAAGAATCTGAAGATGTCGAGAGCTTTTAACAATGAGTGCCGACAGCGCTGTTGATGTGATATAAACACAAACGCGTGATTGCCACAGCGGAGTTTATACGTCGTGTCCTGCCTCCTGCTGCTCTACCCAGACTTCACCCTTCACCTCAACATTTTCCTGTTGTTCTGAATGTGTCAGACCTGGAGAATCTCCTGCTGCGTTGTTCATATGTGAAAACGCTTCAACTGAAAGCTTCCCACTGACCCACCCACCTATCTACCATCCCCAACCTCACCTTCCAGCGGCAGCAGCTGAGGACAGTAGAAGTGCAGCAGAGCACCCAGGGCCGAGCCGTCTGTGCTGTCCTTCAGCAGGTTGTCCACAGGGGGGATCCAGGGGCCTGACAGGGTCGAGGCCTGCTCCTTCCTGTACCGGGCCTGCGTGACATAAAACACCAGCATTACCCAGACTACATCTACATCAACTATATAGAGGAAGGTGTTATCATGTACAGTGTAATGGTGCGACCATGACTTCTTCAAAACAGCAGCGACAGTCTGAAACGCAATGAGGCGTCATTGGATCTACTCATGTATGAAAGTAATCAAGTGCCTCTGGATCCTGACAGAATGAGCACCACAATGTTTCAACTGTTAACAACAGCCATAGTGAGCCCGCTGAGAGGAAGCAAACACCCACTGCCGCAGCGAGTACGCCGGCTCCATTGATGTTTCCAGATGGTGTGCGAACTAATGTTTGGATAAAGATCTAAATAAAAAGCCTCTCGACATGCAGAGTATTTAAATAAAACTTACAGAAACCAAACTGCTTCGTCAAGTGTCAGTTTTATATGTGCAGTAACAGTGGGTGCATGAACATAAGGATATCTACACATTCATGCAGTGAAAAGAGACAAGAGGCTCTGCAGTGAGTGCTGCTGCAGAGACTCTCTCTCTCTGAAATCATTTCATGCAAAATGCCCCCAAACTTCCCATCTGTAAAAATGAAATTCTAATAAAATTAAGCTTTTTCACATTTTTGGGCTCATCTCTTTGGACCTCTTCAGTGATTCCCTGAGGGTTTCTTGTTCCACTGGCAAGAACCTTATTAGCATAAAAGGAAGTATGTTTGGGAAGCGTTCAAATGCACATGTTCCTATTTAAAACCTCAGATTTCAATAAATATGACGTTATATTAAACAGCAATTCATAGACTCTAAAGAGATTACTGATGACTCACACTCTACTGCTTTCTCTTGTCAAATAGCTCAAATTAAATACATCTTTAACACAATGGATCACTTCCTCTTGAAAACCCAGCGTGATTGAGAAAAGCTGTATTTAAGTAACAGTGAGTCACAGGCTGATGCACACTCGTGATAAAACGATGACAAGACAAATGGAGGCAGGGAGGCGGGAGAGACGGTCACTATGGATACGCAGATGAGAGAGCGTAGACTTACAGGCACAAGCTTCATGTACCACTTGGTTGGAGACTGCATCGGCAAAGCAACAGACAAAACAACAACAACAGAGAAATACCTGTTAGTGAGATTAGTTAGTAATGCGATTAGTAATACAAGGAGAGACATGACAGGTGTGAGAAAGCAAAGAGGAGTGTGAAATTGTGTTTTATGTAACGTGGTGTTGAGTTTTCAGTATAAATCTTTGCCTTCAGTGCAGAGAAGAGAAGAGAACAGAACAGAAAGCATGTATTTTTATTGTACTGTGCAAAATAACGACCACATTCACTCAAATAAACTGTCACTGGTAATTAAAACATCATCCCTTTCTCCTGGATGTCTCCTAAACCTCATCAGTGTGAAAAGTGAAACAGAAGAATAATTTCAAATGGCATATAAAACAAAGAGACTGAATCATTAGGGTTCAGGTGACCTGTGTTTGAAGCCTGGATGTAAATTAAACTGGGTGCATCTTTTGTGCTTGATGCTTCAGTTGTAGTACGCCTTATCACAATTGCTGTAAGTTGTCAGTTCACAGTTTTGTCTGGTACGAATTACAAAATATTGTTGTGGATTTTGCAAAAACTACTGAACTACTTCCATGAAACTTGGTGAAAACAAATGGCATATTAATAGGACTGACATCTATGAGTGTGCAGTTTGGTGCAGCTTGATTGGATTTAAAGGAAGTGTTGGGCCTGAGCAGAGGTGTGAACTCTTCTCTGTGCCATTCCTGTTAGAAACTGAGGACGTGTTGAGACAGGAAATGTGTTCAGAGGTTAAAAGTAGAAATAGCAGAGAAGAATAAGTCGTCAATTAATGGAACCAACAAAATCACAAAATGTATTTCATTGAGGCGAAAGACAAAAAAGCCAATGAACTACAGCAGTTAGAGGAAACCAAGTAAAACCCCCCACAGTATAAATATAAAACCAAACTGTCAGTGTAAGCTGATTCCAGAAGAGGAGAATTCTTGCCTCAGTCACGGCTCATTCCCTCACAACCTGGAAGAATCAAAGAACTAAATGTAAGTGTCACTCGGTGGCGGGTGAGTCCTCAGCTTCAAAGAGAAGCTGTGACTGGTGAGAAAATCCAGCCGCTTTGTACCAAAAGCCTCCAAAATAAAGGTAACGACAGGATGAGCAGATCAATCGTCACATGCTTGGATTCTCCCGATTTGATTAACGTCACAACTGTGTGAATGGTAATTTGAGTCTGATGCCATCAGTGGAAAAATACTGAATTTAATCCAATCTGCAACGTATTAGTTAATCAATTGTATCTGTTTGCCAGTGAAAGGAAACTGATACCACAGCATGAATGTGACTGAAGCGGGCTTCTCATCAAATAAACAGAGAACTCACAGATCAGGTTATAGTGGGCAGGAGAAATGATTGATGAGCATCTTCTGCATATTTATTATCTCATCTCATGGAAGGTTATAGTGAGGAAATACTTATTCTAGTCACTTACATTGTCATAATTTCAGAAGAAGGCAGATCCCTGGACTTCCTGAGTCCTGTAGTGCACTGACATTCATTCAGTGTGTTTGAAGGCAGAGAGTGGGACAGAATATCTCTGCCCTCACTTCCCCTCACCACACTAAGGCTGCACTCTCCAACACATGACCTCACAAAGTCAGTGCTGACTCACAGGACGAGTCGAACATTCCGTGGGCGGGAGGGGAGAATGGCACGAGATTCTGCCATTTGGCAATGAAATATCACAGTATGTCAGCATCATTTTTTTTATGATATGTCCAATCAGAGCAGGCGTTATTCGGAGGTGGGGGGGCCTTAAAGAGACAAGAGCTAAAAGCAGGTGTTTAAAGACAGAGGCTGAGGAGAGGAGCTGCAGCAACGGCCAGTCTGAGGAGAGTGAAGTGTTTTCTGAACATTACAGCACGTAAACCTTTTCAAGTATTAACCCAAATTAAAATCATGACCCTGAATACGGGCAAAATATGTCTCCTCTAAAAAACAACTGAGATTGAAGATTCCACTATATGTCTATTCAAGGATTATATTTAATTTAATAGTTTTTCTCAAAACTGATACTTAAACGACCCACTGCTGCAGCCCTGCGGATTTTCAAAGGGTATTTATAGTTCATGTCACATTAAACCTCACTTCCTGACTGACTGCATCTGAAGTAATTATTTAACTGAGGGGTAAGAAGGGTCAGACAGAGTTTAAAATCTGATACAATCACCAATCAAACCCCTGGGGAGAGGTAGGGCCCTAATCCATCATCTCCTTACACACACACACAAACACACACACACACACACCACATAAACAGTAATAGTACTTCTATATTTACACACACACCCCACCCTACCCCACTTCAATCATCTTGTGACTCTGCCTCTTCCCGTCAAAGTTCATCCTCTGAAGCCAGACATGTCCAGTTGAGCTGCAGCTCAGCTTTTGCAACTTAACAGGATTAGTCCTTCTCTTCTCTGTCCTGACGCTGCCTCTGCAGGGCACCCCGTCCCCACCCATTACCCTCCAACCACCCTCACCCAATAAAAACACAGTTGCCCTAGTAAAAGCTCCACAGTGTTGTGCTCAGAGGAGACATGTCTCTCTCTTACGTCTAATCGAGGTAGAAGCTGCCTGTGTGACTCACACTGCAGTCGTACTGCAAAGACAGATGGAGGGGGGGGGGGGTCAGAGGGAAAGTAGATGGAGCTGCTAATCAGCAAAAGCATATTTTTTATTATGAAAAGTTACATGATATAAATATAAATGGTCTGATTGCAGAGGCAGAGAATGGTTGTGGGTCATAAGCATAATAAGTTGGTTTCATGATCCTCCAGTACAGATTGTGTCCATAATTTCTGTTTTGTAACTGATATGGACATTGAGAGACTTGGCACTTGCACCATAACGAACAGGAAAAGTTATAAAACTCTGAAATTGAAAAGGAGATCGATAAATGATGAAGCAGCATTATTGAAATTCAAATGGCCAAAACACTGTCTGTGCTTCTCCTGCCAACGAGTGGTTATTACGCAACGTCTCCTGCTGGAGGCAGCGAGGCCCTGAAGTCCAGACAAAAACCAACGTTTGAAAACTGTCCTGACTACAAAGCATGCAGAGTGGTTTTAAAATGGTCCAACAAATATCAGAACCTGAACTGGTTATAACTGTTTTCTGTCGGAAAACTTTTCCTCACTTTGTTACTCACTCTGTTAATTCTTAGTTTGAGATGTCATGATTGACAGCTGAGACTGACTCATGACTGGTTGAGCATGTGTATCAGAAAAACCTCGATACTGCTGCAACAACACGTTCTCCACTGGTCAAACTCTGGCTACCAGTGATGTCAAAAGTTTAAAATGGTCTGGATATGTTGGCTCTGTTTTCATAGGAAGTGGAGGAATGTCGTCCTTTATACACAGTAGAAACTGATGTTTTGGAAAGATTTCTTGTCTATTAAGCATAACAAATTCGAGTCACAATATGATGTCACTTTTTTTTGACTCAGCTTCACAAGTGTGTGCATCGTCCTGTGTGTTTGTGAGGGACAGCTGAAGCATGCAGTGCTGTGTCTGCACACTGACCGGTCACATCAGCATCAAACACCACACCCCTGGGACTGGGACACACACACACATACACACACACGCAAACTGCAGTGCTCCATTCCGGCTCCCTGCATGACTGAACACATGGGACAGGGTTGCAATGTTTCCCCTGAGGTCAACTTTCTAACCGAGCACTGACAGTGTTGTGTCATAGTGTGCAGCCTGACATAACCTGTGACAGAGGAAGCTGGGAAAGGAGGTGCGATCCAAAACAGTCGGGGGGGACGATGAAAAGAGTGCGGAGGAGTCGAGTGCAGATGAAAAGAAAGGCAACTTCCCTTGGTAGAAAATAGAAACTAATGAGGCAAACACAAGAGGGAGACGAGTGTACTGCTGCTCATCCGCATGGTTATCTAACCAGCACATGCTGCTCATGACTTTCACGGGTCAGTGAAACTTGTTCAAACCCTCTGCATCATTCAAAAACCAGAGAGAGGTCACTGCTGCTCCAATCCAATGAAACCGAACTGGTAGCTCACGATGAAGCCATAGAGATACGCTGCTTTTAGACATTCACCAAACTCTGGACATTGTTCTGCAGATTGTCCAGAAGGGCTGAATGTCAGAAGACAAATGTCTGAGTCACTGCCAGCCACCTGTTAAATGTCAGAGTGAGCTCATTTGAGAATACAGCAGGTAAATGTCCGGGATGATTCACAGTGATTGAGTGGGCTTGTCGATGACGTTTCTAATGCATGACAGATGTGAAACTGGAAGAATGCAAATGTTTGAGAATCTGATGAGAGCAAGAGATTTGTTTGACTCAGCTTAACTAACAGGCTGCTTTATGAGAAAAATATGGATTGAACAATGAGTGGACACAATATTATTATTGTGATTTGCTGTTGATACTGAAAATAAGCAGTGGTAGGGTTTCACCATACAAAGCTAAGAAACTAAAATTACTTGATCTTATATCACCACTGAAATATCCAAAGCCTAGTGAGTACCAGCACCATAGAGCAGTGATGCATGCATGAATGATACACATTAAGTTAATATACTGTTCTGATAGATTTACAACTGATTTATGTGCAGTGAATGAACAAATACATTATTCAGTGGATCAGTGAATGATTTATTGCGAGGGGAGTTTCTACTGAATCTAAACACAGATTACTCCTGTTACTCGAATACATAACACGTAATGTGTATCTTATTACATAATATACACACAAACAGACAACCCAGCCTGTCTTATGGTGTTAGAAATTTCTGCTTATATAACAAATATGAGCTGCGGGCGGGACCCTGAACATGGGTGATCCCGCACTAAATGACTGCTGAGCTATTTAGACTAGAAAGCACTGATCTGCTGGTTGAGCAACACATACAGCGAGTGAAGCATGTCCAGTCATCAGGGGGAATAAACTTGTTCTGATATTAGAGATGTAGCCTGGATTTCTCCCTCGTTTCTTTGCAAAAATACGGACTGAGCTTCCTCTAAAGCTCAGGCGCAGTGAGTGTGAGTGAGATTTTCCTCGATGGCGGCTGAAGTCGAACAGCTTTAAGTTCCGTCGAGGAAACTGCGCTCGGATATCAAAGTGACGCAGAAGCCTGGGATAAATACTGTCAGTCAAAAGACGACTGCTGCTGTAAATCCATTAAGTGTAGCCAGGGATTTCAGTTAGCTTGGTTCAAACTGTCCATCTAAAGTGTCTGTATGTTCATGTGAAGTATTAAAGCTGTGAGAGAAAAGGAAAGGAGAGCAGAGGAAAAGAAAGGAGAGGAGAGGATAGGAGAGGAAACCCACCCGAGGACTCCCAGCAGGCTCGTCACTCTGCGTCTCCTTCTTCCTCTGCTCCTGAGCCACGGTGTCTTTCAGATATTCATTCACCTGGGAGAGGGAGAACAACCAAGATTAAACTTCACTGATCCAGCCCCAGCATCAATAAGGGAAATCCAATATAGTCAGCAAACTAAAACTGTTGCTTCATCTTCAATTCATATTGATCTCATTCAAAGAGAAATCAAGTGTAATCAGATTAAAATTTAATTTAGTTTATTGTTAAAATTTTGCCTCTATAGTTAATTCAGTTAAAGTTTAGATTGAAATTTTAGCATCCATAGTATAACATTGAAGGATTAGCATACAGTCGATACTGAAGAATTTAATTGAATTTAATTAGATTGTGGAATAAACACGTATGACAATAGTGTGACCATGCTATCAACTGTTTTTCATCATTTCACTTTAACACTATTTTTAAGGATAAAACATAGAGGTCTGTGTTTACATACATTGTGGGAGTTTTACGCATTTAAACTGAATCCGAGTCAAATTGAATCTTATTTCATTTCATTCAATCGTGCACTTTGGAAAACTCGTAGTCTGTGAAGCTAAAGAAGAAATCTGGATCAAGTTAAAGCAGAAATCAGTTTTTTAAGCTGGTGGATTTTGGACCGTTTAAAACGCACAGGGACTCCAACAGAGAGCCATATGTCCGACCAGTGGGACCCCAAGACCACACCTCCTGGTAGATATAGTGTGTGTGTGTGTGTGTGTGTGTGTTGGTGTGTGTGAAGCTCAGAGCTGGCAGCAGTCCAGAGTTCCTTCTAGAAGAATGTAAACAGACCTTGTATCTCTGTTTGAAGGAGTCAGAACCATCTGCACATGTAGGCCATGAGGACGGCCACTTCCTTAAAACGAGGTGTGAAAATCCTTGCACGGGATATTTGCTGTATTATTTTTTATGAAATGGTTAAAAAGTGTGCGTTCATTTCCTTGTAGCTCCTAAAGAGACTTAATTAAAAATGAGTAATAATAAATAACTTGCCCTGACCAGGCATCACGATAGGAGCATTATCAGTTCCAGTCAAACCCGTCTATATTTATTATAGTAATAGATTTTTAACTTACAGGAAATCAAAGACCTTAAACACAGACTTTGTACAGAAAATATGTGGCTTAGAAAATAACTATATTCTGATTTTCCAATACAATGTGTATTGGATATCGATCACCCAAATAATCATTCACCTCATTTTGTCATTTTGTCAAAATATGGCTAAAGAACTACAGCTGATGGAAACCACAGTTTTTACAGTGTTTGACAGAAACAACTGCATTATCAATATACAGTTTGTCTTTGAGGCAAAGATTAAAGTAGGAAGACTTCTCATGTACATGGCTGGCGAGGCCTTTAAGTGTAGCTACTCTCAAACAAGTGACTTCATCTGTTATGGTGGACACTCATTCCTTCTAATTCTCTAATTAGTTCATGGAACTTAACCGCACCTTCACACAATATTATCAGTACTAGTCTTTAAAAGTCAATATGTCATAGGAGAGGGCCAGGAGCCACAAGGACCTGGAAAGGTTAACGGACGCCATCATGAAAAGAAAAAGTGCAAAAGTTTCACGTATCTCTGTCGAATTCTCATGTTTCCTGTTTGTCCTGTTTCAATAGTGCTGCACACACAATGAGTCATGAAGAAGCTTTACGAGACATGTATAGAAAACACGTGTCAATCTCAGTATCAGTAACAAAGTGGAACAGTCCACCTCCAGCGTTGTTTTCTCATTTGTTCTGAGTTCACCTGTGCTCTTCTTATAGTCACCGACCTCAGGGCTCAGGGACGTGGTGTGGTTGTGTGTGTGACAGATGTGATGGTATGTAGGTCAGGTTAGCTCAAGCTCTCTTGTTCACAGAGTGTGCACAAGTCGTCTGCTTTGACCGACACTGAAACTACTTCAGACCTACGTGGATCTATCTGTTCTGTAGTTCATTTAGCTGTTCTGTTGAGTTATCTTGATAAGTGAATTTCAGTTGAGGTGAAAAGTATCACACACAAATACAGTGCCTCCAGAAAGTCTTCGATTGTTAATGTCAATGTGATATTTCTTTTATTTCCATTTTTAATAAATTTGCAAGTGAATACCACATCAATAGACTTTATGACTTATCATATGCATATAATCTTAACTATCTGGGAGTTATAATTGATTATTTCTAACAAGATAATGTTTTTAAATTATAGTTTGTGAAAGATTTCCATTTAGCATTTTGCATATGGACACACCACCATGTCGTCATATCTGGTATTTGTTCTTCAGTTCATACACACATGCATAGTGTGTTATGCATGTTATTCTCTGTGACCCACCTTGTTGATCCAGGTGGTCACTGCATCTTCCGTATCATATGGCATTTCCACCTCAGGCTTACAGGGCGTATACTGAGAAACACAGGCCATCACCTTCTCGGCGCTCACAGCCTCCACCGTGTACGCCATCATCAGAGTGTCGATCATCGCCAGGTGGGCGCTCTGAAAGAGTGGACAACGCAGAGAAAGATTTAGAGGGTGAAAAAACAGAGGCAGCGAGCAATACCAGCAGATGTTCAATTTCCTGCACATTGTATATTTGCTCACAGTCACTGCTACTTTAGAGGAAATGCAATAACACGAGTGTACATTCCTCCATCATCTGTTTTTAGTTAAACACAACTGCAAAGTAAAAAAAGGCTCGGTGTGTATAATTGTGTGTGATGAGAAAATGAGAAAATGCCTTTGAAATTTCACCTAAAGAGAAAGATCAGAACATGCTGCTGAGAGGGTTTGAACTTAAAATCATGTTTTAATCTCAGTGAGATTGAGTTTTCAGATGATAGTGAAATCAGATTATTATTATCAGGATCATGGTAACAAAGCATAAAGGATACTGTGTCCTGCAAACAAATCCAAGTCCTTATGTCACATCGTCAGACATCAGACATCAAGCGAAATGGTTCCTTCATTTTAAAAGACTGGTTTGAGAATATATCACTCAGTCTGTGACAGATAGATTGTACTGCAAATAGTTCAGTTAGCCTTGTAATAAGCTTTGGAAGTATTCTGTAATGAGTTCCTGTTCTGAAAGTTACATTCTAAAGTTATGGAGAATCAATGCATTAACACAACTGATGACAGACACCAATTAGACACTGAGACAGCACTCAGACAACCAGAGACAAACTACAGTGGCACCAAGGCCCAACATGCCACTTAAATTCAGTCTCGCTGCACCACATTTCACACACTCATAGATATCAGTCCACAAAATATGCCTGATTTCTTTTCATCAAAATCCATGACTATGGTGAAAATATCAAAAAATCGTGTAATGTTAAAGGAAGTTCCTGGATCCGCCCGTTTGTAAGGTAAAGATGTGCGACAATTTAATGGGCCATGTTTCCACCAAGTAACATGGAAATCTATTCTTTAGTTTTAGGGTTATCTTGCAGAAAAACAAACTTTGTCATTGGTTGTTATTCATCTTCCACATGATCTCTATCAAGCTAAAAGTTCAACTTGCACGTGTCACAGACATGTGGAAGGTCAGACATGTTGGTGTGTTTGACCTAAGATCTGTATCAATCTAAATGAAGTTACAGATTTTGTCCCCAGCGTCATCCTTGTTACATTGTGCAACATATCTTTCTTTAGATAAAAACAGGATGCACAATGATGAAAAGACATAGGAGGCTAATAACGAGGAAGAAAGGTAAACTCAGACAGGAGATCACTCCCTCCAGCAGTCAGTCTTTGCTCTCTCTAACTCTGTTGCAAACCAGAGACTGTTTTCTACATGATTTGATTTGCTCAGTCCTAGACAGACATGTACACTCCCTCCTGCGCTCTGTGGTCGACTGGCACTGCCAACCACTAACCTCAGCACATCGTGGGGTGCCAAAGCCTTTTCCTACGCTGCATCCAAACTTTAGATTTTTGATTCACTTCCATCTCACATGTGTAAACTGGACTCCATTACAAAACTCAAAACTGCTTTTAAACCCATCACTTATTTACTCATCTGCATCAACTGCATTTTACTTTATAATTTAAAAACGTTCTACTCTTGCATATTGTGCATATTTTAGATTTTTTTTGTATTATTGTCATTGCAGACAATAACTGA